TCTAATCATGCCTACTGTGACTACCTTCTAAATTTGATGTGAATTATTTCTTTAATGATTGCTCATGTTAGAGAAAAGGTTTAGATCATGAAACAAATTAATTCATGTAGAGCAAACACGTAAGCCCCCGCCTTCATTGCAGCACTAAACATAGAGTACCAGAGATTTCTCGAAACAAACAGTATATAGAATATACTCACGCAAGATCATTATGGTAATGTAAACTGTGCCCAGTTGAAAATCAAATTATACTAGAACCAAATACTTAAAGACATGAACTCGCACAAACCAATATCAATTATAAAACACATTTGTGAATTCCCAATTAACAACCCAGTTGCTAGTAAGGTCAAAACTTTAGTACACCCATGAGTAAATTACCTAAAATTTAACAATCAAGTAAACAGAGAACCCAGAGAAACAAAGCCCAAAAAGAATAGAAGCAGACGGTTAGAGAGTTAGAAGCTCACTGAGAAAAGGAGTGAACTTTGGCTCGCTTATGGTGCGAATCGTGATCACCGTCGTCTGCAGCGGAAGCCGAGCTACTCTCGCCCTCGGATAGCCGTGGGCTCCTAATCGCGGCCCTCAACGTCGCAAGAGCGCCAACGCAGACCGACTCGTCCCATTGAGCACCACCACGCATTGCTTGGACCATCCCTTCGAACATTCGTAGATGGCCGTTGCCGTCGCGGCCAGGGTCAATGGATGCAAGCCCTAATCTTGGAACGTTCCCCTCGGCTTCCTCGCCATTTCCGGTAACGCCCTCCGCGTTGCCCTCATTTTCGAAATTTCCCTCCTTCATGATCGGCTCCGCCTCGCTATCTTCCTCTTCTGGTTCGTCTTCTTGGGTGAAGCATAGGCAGCACCAAATCTTCATGCACTCGAAGGAAAACCTCGGACCTCTGCAAACCCTAGGTCACGATCCGACGCATTTTTACGCCCTGCTCACTCCTCCTCCTAAATTAACACCCAAATTGACGCAGAAATGATGGAACAACTCAAGAAACCCTAGAAATGAGAGACCGTCGATTCAATTTTTGAAATTTGATTGCTCGGTACAGCAACACGGGAATTGATCGATATCTACATTAATGTACAAACTAATTAACAAAAATAGGGAGGACGAGAGAGAATTTTAGTGGATCTGATGAGATCCTGAGAGCTTATTTGCTGTGGACGCTTTAGTTGTTGTACCCTCGAGTGCTCTGATATAATCTGTGTTTTTCTACTTCGAACGGAAACTCAAAGTCTGCAAGAGAGTCTAGCTACCTTAAAAAAAAATTATATTATTAACAATACTATATATAAATGGTGGAATCCATACGACGCCGTTCTTTTTTTCTTTTTTTTTCTTTACTTTTTCTTTCCTTCTACCATTGGTTGGTCTTGTTTCCTTTTTCTAGTTATATTGGCTTCTTATTTTTTCCCTTTGAGTCTAAATCTTATATCATGATTTTCCCTCCTAAAAGGAAAATTATAAACGACACTATTATTGTATGAGAAATTATGAGAATCCTTATTCTTAGTTAATGAGTAAGGAATATTAAAAGTGAAAAACAGACCATGATGGCCTAAAATTTAAACTAAAAACTATGTTAGTTTTGTATATTTTTTCAAGCTCGCGATGTATAGAATGAACGTTATTTCTTATGATTTAGTTTATACATCAAATAAATATAACATTAAATTAAGATTGGTTTGACTTAATTAGGTCGTTAACAAGTGTCCTTAAGAAACGCCAATTAGCAAGACTCGCAAACAAAATTAGTGAAAAGAAAGCTTAAACTTTGATAATTAAGAATGATTAAGCATTGGCCATTTGGGAACCTTGGACATTAGACAAAGTCATCAATTCCCAAATAGGGGAACACGTAGGTCCCACTGACATAACCAATGGTGACAAAAAGATGTTGGTAAATCCGCAAGTCCATGAAAAATCTTGTATATTTTTTCAAGCTCGCGATGTATAGAATGAACGTTATTTCTTATGATTTAGTTTATACATCAAATAAATATAACATTACATTAAGATTGGTTTGACTTAATTAGGTCGATAACAAGTGTCCTTAAGAAACGCCAATTAGCAAGACTCGCAAACAAAATTAGTGAAAAGAAAGCTTAAACTTTGATAATTAAGAATGATTAAGCATTGGCCATTTGGGAACCTTGGACAGTAGACAAAGTCATCAATTCCCAAATAGGGGAACACGTAGGTCCCACTGACATAACCAATGGTGACAAAAAGATGTTGGTAAATCCGCAAGTCCATGAAAAATCTTGAAAATCTTACACAGCAGCGCCTAAAGGTTGTCCTTTCCACCAAAAATGGTCGACAGCAGCACTATGCTTCAAAATTTCAAACACGAAAATATACTTTGAGCCCCCAAAAGCCCAAAGCATTCAGCCGATAAAATTACAAAACAGGCCTCAAATAGAAAGCCTTTGATTTCAATTTGGCTAAAGAAAGAAAGCCCATAAAGACTTGTGCCCAACAATCCAAACACACATTCATTTCTTCAAGCAAGACCTTTAGGTTCAGTGATGAATGATGTTCCAAAGTGGTCGGTCGAGAGGTTTATATCTGAATGCACTGAGGCACGCCTTAACCGGAGCAACTGTTTCCAAATGACCATCATCATATCTCCAGTTGCTTGATAAAACACTTGTCCTCACTGCCTCTCTATTGGGCAAATGTGACAAAATAATTTCTACAACAGCACTTGGTAAGTTGCTAATTCTGTCCAATTTCGAACAGGACTTGGGGGGTTCTCTGTGCTCCTGACAAATTAAAGTAGGAGCACATCAAATACCTTGATCAATCCAACTAACACGGGTACCATAGGAGCTTACTCTTTATTCTTTAACACACATTTCTTAAGAAACGGGTTAGCAATGCTCCTAAAAAAAATTAAAGAAAAGAAAGCTTAAATTTTGATAATTAATCATGATTAGCATTACCCATTTGGGAACCTTGGACATTAGACAGAGTCATCAACTTCCAAATTGGAGAACATGTAGGTCCCGTGGACATAACCAATGATGGCAAAAAGATGTTGTTAAATCCGCAAGTGCATAAAAACTTGAAAATCTTCCACCACAGTGCCTAAAGGCCGTCCTTTCCTCCAAAACTAAAATTCTATACCTATCTCTTAATCGTTAGATCAAACTAACCTATTTGATAAAGACGTTATTATAGAATGACTCTCCACCAAAAATGGTCGACACCATCATTGAGAGTCATCAACTTCCAAATTGGAGAACATGTAGGTCCCGTGGACATAACCAATGATGGCAAAAAGATGTTGTTAAATCCGCAAGTGCATAAAAACTTGAAAATCTTCCACCACAGTGCCTAAAGGCCGTGCTTTCCTTCAAAACTAAAATTCTATACCTATCTCTTAATCGTTAGATCAAACTAACCTATTTGATAAAGACGTCGTTATAGAATGACTCTCCACCAAAAATGGTCGACACCATCATTGGACTGCCCTGCCCACTATTCTTCAAAATTTCAAACATGAAAATGCATTTTGAGCCCTCTAAGCACAAGCCCTCACCCAATCAAAATTACAAAACAGGCCTCATATAGAAACCCATTGATTTCAAATTGGCTAAAGAAAGCCCATAGGCCTGATGTTGTTGAGGTGGATCCAATCTTAAACAAGTTGGCCTAAAAATATCACACAAGTATCTTTTAGTAAATTAGCATCACGTGCTTAAAGGTAACTGGTTCAAGTGTCAAGGTTATTTCTCTTTTACTTTTGGGAGGTGGTGTGTAGTGTACAGTGTACGTACGACTTCCTGGAAGGAACCCTAATATCAATGGCCGAAATTATGAAAAATATTTGTCCTTCTGATGAATTCCTTTAATATATATATTAAAATATGCGATTCATATGAATAAGGAGTATCTCTTTATCCCGAAAATATATCGATATTGCATCGGTTTTCAAAGTGCAGCAAGCAGCCTTTTGCATGATTCAAATCTTCCAACATGTGAAACATATACGAGAAATAATCAATTATATGAAACTAATTAATAATATATAAATTTTGGTATGGTTTGCGTTTTGTGATGCAATCGTACGCTACAAACAGGAACAAAGCCTGTAAATTTCGTCTTTTTTTGTTTTGTTTTGTTTTAAAGTACAACACGTGGTTGCATGACACGTTTACAAAGAACGTATAGGATGCTTTTTTGCATGGGATTAATTAACCGAGGAAGCTCCTCTCTGATTAACCTTACACTTAATAGTATTAGTAAGTGTGTCGTTGGCTTTGGGTTTGGCTTTGGGTGCACCTTACAAGAAATCATGATCTTATAATTGCCTTCTAAAGCCGGACGCGGGGCCCACCCTAGTTCAACTTTTCTCTACTTTTCATGGGAGAAAAAGAAGAGATATGAAAGGGAAAAGAAAATAAAGGGGAGAAGAAAAGTGGTTCGATAAAGAAACCAAGATAGATTTGATTTTCCTTGAAACCAAACAAACAAGCAAAGCTCGAGGCTTGTGAACAAGAAACCAAATCGATAATGCATGGCATTTTGATTTCTTTTGCATGAAAAGAGAATCTGATGCCTAACTACACGCCTAATTACATACACTTTTTTCCATCTCCTTTATTTTTTAGCTGAAAAGATAAACTGAGCCCTTTGGCCAAGTTGAAGTCAAATCATCTCGAACTGAACATCAAGGCCAGTTCAGATTATCCCATGAGTAAATTGAACGGTCCAAATTAAATTAAATTAAATTATTCACCTTATAAAAAGGGGTAAAGGGAAAGCAAAAGAAGGAAAAAAATAAAAAGAGATTGGCTTGTCATGAAAATTTGTAACCATCAATGTCATTGATAATTGAGTTTGCACAGAGAGATGATCATGGCCACATTTCAATCTACGAGCATAATGGTCATATCATTGACTTGTTTGTTTCCTTGATAATACTTCCATCCTTTGTTTTTGGCTTTTTATTTTATGTCTAATTAACAAAAGAACAAACACATGAAAACGATCCAAAATTTCTTGCTCAAACTATTTCTTTACATTAATTGCTCCAACACATTCTTTGTCGAATGTCGATTTTGATAACAATGGTACTGAGACTGACCCACCAGCAGAAACTAAATTCAGAGAAAATAGATGCCAACACAAACAATTACATTGCATTATTTATTCTACTATTAGGGTTGAGAAACCCTAGGGAAAATTTTCTGTCCAGGAGCAAGGATGGCCATTGGATCAAAGCAAGTCTTCCGCTCCACGAATCTCGACCATCGATCATTTCCAAAATGCCACTTCCAATCATCCTGCGATCGATAGTGAGGCAGATACAACTTGAAATCAAACCCCTTTTTGGTGCAATATTGTATAATTTCCTTGTTTTGGGCCACCAGATTCCCGAACGAGGGACCTTGTGGGTATGGTGGAGTGAAACGTAACAAAGCCACTATGTAGAAAATTTCACTTTCTGGTAGTGCCACTGATGTACGCGTATCCCACCTGATCACATTTAATCAAACGTTAAAGCTGATTAATTAAAGGTAATTAAACAATTAAGCTAATGGCAACTACCAAGTAAAACAAATGCAAGAGGGGTATTTTATATTGGTTGAAAGCTTCGTCATGGATCTACCAACAAGAGGGGTATTTTCGTACACCAGAAAGTGCAGTTTGAGCCAGACAAAATTATGGTGTCGATATGCATTATTCCTTGTCGCTTCTGAAATGGCATGAGACTCACCGTGAACGTTGCATCACTCGGAAGAAATCTCATTTTCCGTAAAAAGAGAAAAATTCTGCGTGACCAACATACCCCTCGCAGTATTTCCAAGGCTTCCTGTCTGGTGGGCTAAATCGATATCACGGGCTTTAATTTACGAATCTACCCTTTCAGGCTCAATTCGGAAAATAATAATATTTGAAACGACAAAACCTATGACTCATTTTGAGCTAATTAAGCATAGAAAAAACTATTTAAGGAAAGAAAATAAAAAAAGGGTATTCTACAATGTGGGGACCACTGTATCTTTGTCCGGCAAGTACTCATCCAGCCAGTCTTCCTACGTTTGCTTATACGCTAACCCAACCAAACAGCTCCACCAAACCTAACGTGACGTAAATAATGATAACATCAAATGCAATATGGTGCTGATACGCCACGGTTGGGTGCAGGTTTAAGATGGTACAACCATCATCAGCTGTCCGCACATAAAAAAAAGTGAGGTAACTCTGAGGTCCCACTTGACGTTATATTTTTTTGGTCGAAACCACTTTGACCTTATAAGTAGAAAATATTTGACCCACCATCGGAATCTTAACCACCCGATTTTAAATTTCATCCAATTTGTCAGCGAATCAGATTCAGAAAATGATGTTTATAATTTGTACCATTTTAGATGCACCAAAAATGGGCATAAAATGTCAAATAAGTAGTGTGTATTCCAACAAAATAGCACCTTATAATTTAAACTTTCGCTTATATTTCACACATAAAAAAAGGGGATTTTTAAATTTTAATTTTCTGACAAATTATTAGAAAGCATTCTAAAATGCATGGATATCAAAATTAATACGATCAGCGACCTAAAATACGTATGTAGGTATGATTTTCGTTAAGATTTAGAGTGACAGGGGACGTGTCAATTTTGGAGGCTAGCAGAGTAAACCTCGTCAGCTCACACTAAGCTCTGAGGCTACTCAATTTCCACGTGGCAAGAATGCAAGGATTAAACGGCAAAGATGAATTATATAATTAAAGGAGTGGGGTTGAGGAGGAGAGGGAAAAACGTACTTGCTTCGCAGCAGAGGGTAGACGAGCATGGGCCCACCAATCCCATCCTTGAGGATCTTCTTGATGACCGTCCGATCAAAATCAGCGATATCAGATTTCGAGACGAACAGGTTCAGCCAAGGATGTGGCGCGTCCCATATCCCGTTGGCCTTGGCGTGTTCCTCTGCACGCTTCACACGCAATAAGAAGTCGAGGTAGCTGAGGTCCACTTGGAACTTCAATCGCTCAACGAATCCGAGGCCTCCAAGCAATCTGTTCACGCCCTACACAGAAAAAATTCAGCAAATAACGTCAAACTCCAGGGGTATTCCCGTCATCACACACCCACACAAGGGACATACATTCATGATTTACAGATTCCAGAAAATGATGGCAATTTGGCCATTTGTGGAACTCTGGGGACCACGCCGTCAGCAAAATCCCAATCATCAAACTTCTACTGAAGCCTGTTATTACCATTTTATCCCGGGAAGAGAGTGTCATTCTGGTAATTAAAAGCGAACCTCAAGGGTTTTTATGGATAGGTACTATGTCAGAAAATCCAACAGAAGATAGTAAGATACACTATTGGCGTATTGTCAGTCTCCAAGTTGTAGCAAGCGACGAAAGAAAACTTGCTAGAAGATGAAAATTAAATAACATTTTTTAAAATCTTTTTTAAAAAGTTGGAAAATAATAATAATAATAATAATAATATACCAGAAGACGAAAGTACACAGACAGAGTGAGTGAGGGGCATGAAATGAAATGGTGAATGGGAAGAGTGATGATGAGAAGGGAGAATAAGCCGTCCTCCATCGACGAGCTTCGAACACGTGTGAGACTGAGTTCACTTCAGAGGGTTTGTTTTGACTTTTTCACTGTCCGGCGGTAGACGGCTTTGCGCGGGGACGCACTTAACCCACTCGAGGTCAAAATCTTCGCGGCTGTGGGGCCTACTTAGCAACCACCTAGGTCAAAACTCAGTCATCACTGCATGGCCCTACCCAAAAAAAATAAACTGTACTTTTGTGGGGGCCATAAAAGCAGAGCCATGACGCAAACTATAGAATCAAGCTCTTGAATGGCCAGCAAGTTAGGGTGCAGATTTGTTATCCTAGGACAAGATGCAGGAGATAACTTTTATTTATTTTTATTAAAGTTAATTACCATATCAACAATTGAGGGGTCGTCTGTATTGCGGTAGTGTCGAGCCAGTTCGAGACAGTAGAGCATTGATCCGGCGGTTTGTGGGAGATGGGTCGGGTCGAAGAACTGGTCCGGATCCAACGGCACGGAGGGCCGCCCATCTGCCGGGTTGTCGCTGTTGACGAAGGCAAAGCCTTCCACGTAATCAAACGAGTAGTCCTCGTCCTGCCGAGTCACCAGCAACTCGGCGTCCCGAGTGAAGTCCTCAAACTCGGTGTACACCAGCCTTATCCATCTCACCTAATCACATAAAAAATCCATAATTACGTTCCGTAAACGTGTCTCTCATGCACTCAGTTCCACCCATAATTTATGGTTAGAATGTAGCAATTGTTATAATTTTTTCTTTTATTAATGAATTTGGGAAGCCAACAAAAAAAAATGATGAAAAATCTGAATTTCTGAAATACCAACCATGTCCGGGGCTGGTTGGAGCAAAACCCTAGCTCGGGTGATGATACCGAACTGTCCGAGTCCGCCAAGCGCTCCGAAAAAGAGCTCCGAGTTTTCGGTTTCGGAGCAATTGAAAATTTCGCCTTTCCCCGTAACGACTTGTAGCTCCGTTACGTTTGAAGTTTGTGGACCGTAACGGAAAGCCTGACCGCTGACGCCGGCGTTGGATAACGTCCCGCCCACCGTCAAGCTGAGGTAATCAGTCCAGGACCTCGGGGCCATCCCGTACTCGAAAACGCACCGTTTCAGCACATCTTCCCATAATGCCCCTCCGGACACGTCGGCGTAGACGGAGCCATTGTTCGCTCTTACCACTCGGAAATGGTCGCTCGCCACGTCATCGGCGGCTGAGGGGCGGATGAAAAAGAGCGGCGCGAGGGAATTCATGCCGCCGAAATCTCTGGAGGCCTCGTCGGTGGGCCCCATACTGCCTTGGAGGTCCAGAGCCTTGAAGAGGCTGGAAACGTCGTCGTCCGGCCTCGATTCGGTGTCGTTTTCGTGAACGAAACACTCCAGGTATGCTATCATTTTGGCCGGAAATGAGTTAAAAGACTAATTTCGCCGGTAAGCACTCTGTCTCTGTCTCTCTCTCTCAAGCCTCAAAAGCCAGGCCGTTGTCTGTGTCAGAGAGTAGAAGAAGAAGTACTCTTAGCTAGCTCTCTAGTCTCTTTTTTAAGTGGTGGTTACAGTTTGGAGTTTACGGCTTAAATAGCGGCTGATTCTCGTCCCTCCTTCCTCAGAAACCAAATGATATATTAAATAATTTAATTAATTACATTATTTTAAGTGTTTGAGAATTTAATTGATCAAATATTAAACAAAATATTGACGTCAGCCTAGCTTCAATATCCTGTTGACGTTGTGATCCTATCGACATCCTCTGTCTGCCACTTCCACATAATATAAATTAAATTAAATGATTTTTTTTATATAAATTTTCTCAGTTTCCATTTTGTTTTGGTTTGTTTCACGCTTATAGTGCATGATTACTTGTTAAGTGATCATTAGTGACATCTTCTTTCATGCTTTATTTTATTATTTCGAAAAAGAAAAATTAAAATTGACAGTCTCGCAACATAACACTGGATCGTAAAAGAGGAGAAATCAAATTTGTAGAGTTGGGGATGATACATGCTATATTACATGCAAGTTTTAATCATTCGTACATTTCTTTGGCCATCAAAGTATTACGGTTACTTGAATTTACACCAATAAATTGGAAGGTGTAAACTGAGAGCAAAATTTTTATATTCACGGACCCTTTGCCTCATGAATATTAAAATCTTCAATGGTTGTAGCCGTATAAATTATACATAACAATCATATTTATCTAGAGTCTGGAATTAATCAATCCAAAAATGGTAGGTTTTACAACTTGCATGTCTCGAATGGTTAGTCCATTGTCGTAATATATAGTAGACGACATTCAAAGGGTGAAGTAAATGTAGTTTTTTTAATCCTAAGCATGCAAAAGTATATTTAACTTTAACTCGTGATTAAATTGCTACGTGAATATAAAATTAAAATAAATAAAAATTGAAGTTACTCTAACCGAGTAGTCAAATCTCATTTTGAAATGGTCTAATTGAGAGCCAAAAATGTCAACTATATATGTTCTTCTTCAATTAAAATTTAATTGACCTAGACTCTCTAAGTACGCGAAGGGACGCAGATAACCTAAGTGCTGCATTTAGGGGAAAATATTGGTAGGCACTAGGCAACTAGAAAAGATTATTTAATCAATTGTTTTTTAATTAATCTGTATTTGCGTATCCATATTTTATTGTTCATACCTTGTTTTTATTTAATTTTAATTAAATTGTTGACATTGAAATATTATATATATTCCAATAGTCAACAATCGTACCACCACGCCTTCCTTAATGCTTGTACACTATGACGGCTTTGGCTATAAACAAATATTAGGACGAAAGAGTGGTCGAATGAAGATTTATTAGACGAGTTCCATTTGTTTGTTTATTGATAAAGAAACAAAAAGTAAGATTAATTCATCAATGTTTGTATATTAAAAAAATGGTGGTTGAAATGGTTTTTCATATAACGACTTTATTTGCAACGATTCGAATCTCGTAATTACCATTTCAACTTAACTAATTCTTAGTTTAGTGATATAAATTTTCTTTTGAAAATAACCAATTCTTAATTTAGTAATATATGTTTTCTTTCCTTAATGTTGTAACACGTTTCAAGTTCGAAAATCCCTAATTTGAAACGAAAGCATATCGCGCATATGTTATGACCAGGCACTACATGTTAAATAATTAGGCCAAATGTTCATTAAGTCAACACACCTTGTGTTAGAAGTCAAATAATATTCTATGTTGGAATTCATAAAAGCAACATAACCAAGTAAGATCAGAATTCAGAAGTAACATGAGTCACCAAAAATCAGTTGGGCACGCGCATCTAATTTACAAGTATTTTAAGTACATTAATGTACCTGTAATAACCGATTATATGTTTATGTTGAAATATTAAAAGTCAGAACCTAATTAGCAAAAGTCAACCAAATTAAGATATAGTTAAGTAGACCATTTATCGTGTGATTACGAAACCCTAACTGAAGTGCAAATTAAGATATATAATTAAAGGTCAAACATTAATTTTGTTTCTGAATTTATAAGTATATGCATGTCAAATGTCAAACCGCCCTCTAAACTGCCACTGGAATGGCTCACAAGTGTAGGTGCTCTCCAATCATGTTTATCATTTCTTTTATACAAAGTCACACCGCCTAGCCATTGTTTTCTAAATTCGTTATACACACACATCATCTTGCTCAGTGGTCAAACCCTAATTAACAAATATTTTCGAGTTCTACACCATTGGAATTCAATCAATCACCCAAGTTCAATAATCTTTATATTTATTTAAGATTTTACTAGCATTAGCCGTCCACATAACTAATGACAATTATTTATTTGAGTTATATATAGTCTTATAGTTGGATTCATAACAATCAATGACTTGCAATCATCTACACGTGTACATCGACTATTCTTATCATTATCGGTTTATTTCAAATTTTAGAAAGAAAAAAAACCACATTGAAACTATAGTGTGTAGGTTTTCAAGAGGCAAATTGATAGAATCAATCTTGGGGGTCCAGATGATGCTCTGGGGATCTCTAGCATCTCTCTTTTTATGTCACGCTATGATATTCTTAACTTTGGCCCTTACGGAGTAGACAAACTCTCTGACTCCAAACGCCCACAGTACACCATTCAAAACGCCCCACACCAAAATCCTTTTTGCGATTTTAAAATCTGCCACAATTCGCATTGTTGCCCAAAAGATAAAAGATAAGGCAAGAGGAAAATGAGAATCCTAGGCACAAAATAATTAACTTCTTCTTCGTGTAACTCTTTGAAGAAGAAGCTCAAAAATTGATCCCAATTCCGATAAACTTTTCCAACCATGAAAATATTTTTTTTATAAAAAAAAACTATAAATATAAGTTTATTTCGTAATAAAGTAGTGTAGTTGTTTACAGCTTAAAGAAAAAGGTTATGCGATTATTTAATTACCAAGTTAATTATTATGCTAGTTTATGTATTGCTTGCTTGTCGTTTATTGGTCCGCTTTAAAAAAAATAAAAACTAAAATATAAAAAAAGGGGCCATGGTTAGAAAGAACTTGGACCTCTCTTTCATTTCCAGTATTCTTTCATTTGATAGATAGGTTAAAATTCAAGCTTAAAAGCGAGTATAAAGATAAAGGAAAAAAACTAATCATAAGGGTCAACTTTATTATTACAAATAACTCCAAGAAAAAAGAAATTATTACAAATGACCTTAGTTGTGATTGATTATTAATCTACCCTACTAGATACATGAAAATGAAATAAAGGGTTTGTTTCGATGGAACCAACATTTTTGTCCTCGTCAAGGAGCCGAGCTTACGAGGAGGAGTAAAACTCTATCTATTTGTTGGGAGGAGGAGCGTAGATGGTTATTTGGTCTTTTAAAGTGAAAAAGATGTTGAACCAAGTCTTTTTGTTCTCATTTGGTATATGATTAAAGTGCGTGACCCAGTATATATAGCAACTTGTTGTCGTTTTGACAGTTCATTATATATGTGTCAATTATGATCCTACTTGAGTTGGATGCAACCATGCAAAATGGGGACAAGACAAGTTAATTTTTCTGGTTTGTCATCTATAGCTGCCTTGTCATAAAATCGAATTCGAGATTTTCGAGATTTATAAGATCTTGATTGCCCAGGTCCAAGATCTCACTGATCAAATGAGACAAGGAACTAATAACGAAATTAACATTGGCTAATGACAAAGATATATACAATGCTCTTTCCGATGAAGCGGGAAACACTTGGACTTTGTAAAACCTAAAATAGTAACGGTCATAAACTGCCAGAGTTTCTCTTGGTCCGTGTTTTGAAATTTCAACTGCAATCTTAATGCTTGATTTTGTTTCGTATTATCTTTAAATCTAGCAACTTGTCTATATCTTTGCTTAAATCATGTCTCAGATTTGCTATGGATTCTGAGCTTTCAACTTGAATACATATGTTACTTGTATCAGTCCAACTCCAACCAACCATTATGGACCAAATAATAATTTATACCAAGTTCTTGCCTTGCATGATTGAGACTTGTTCAGAGGCGGCAGTATTTTATTACTTTTCATAGCTTATCTGAAAATCTGAGTTTCCTTATCTGACATAGACTCTTCATTTTCAAAGAAATATTCAAGTGTTGAACGAACTTACCACTTTAGATTGTAAACAGATACACAGATATTATTTACTCGTTTTCAATAGAGATATTGTGTTGCGTGAGATTTGATATAATTCTGATATATGATGCAAACATTGAACACCAGTCTGCTGCTACAGATGAATAGTTTTACATTTGATATGGTATTGGGCAAAATCTGTTTTCGTAATCCCAAGGTTGAAAATGTGTTAATAAACATGCGCAGAAATCTTGAAAACTTAGACGATATCGAGTTACTTTGACCAATTTGTTGATCACAGATTTCTTAGGATAAGGATCAACCAGGATTCGATCTTTTTTTAGTCAAGAAACAAATGATTTTTTCAACCGCTGGAGCCGGATTTTGCAGTTGAATAATGTATGGCAGATAAGAATCTATGCAATGTCAAACTTTTCCACCAAGCTGAGGGAAGAGAAAACAGATCCTGCTTCCATAAGCAGTAGGATTTTAAGTTGGTTTTCTTGGCAATTACCTTAAACAATTAGAACCCAAGTTTGCGTGCAGTTCTTGCGTCATGGCTTACTTTTTCTTTTTTTGTTCTTTGGGCTTTCACGGGGACAACAACAGCACAATTATAATACAAGGCTGGGCAAGCATTATAACAGATTTTGCTTGCATAAGCAATAGGATTTTCTTTGTGGTTGATGATGTCCACAAGTTATTGTCATCTTCTTTTGGATGGGAGCTAGCCAGTGAATATAATGTAGAGGCTGTTCAGACGGTTTAATCTCAACAGGTATCTAACAAATGGTTATTTTAAACCAAATTTGATTTCTTTTGAATTTGGTTTCGTTTTTTTGAAGAACATCATTCTTCTCTTAGATGGAACGGTAGATAACGGAAACTGCATGATATAGCAGGAGATAAGTGATGGATAATAAGTGTTGTTTTTGTTAAAACAACGACCTTTGTTGAAGTAAACGAACATAACTACTAATCTATTGATACTTCTATTTCTAATCGAATGTTG